CCTTTCCGATTGACGAGTGAAGGGCATTTCTCATGAAGGGCTTGATTTAAATGTTCCAGTTGCTGACTATAGATCTATGCATCGATAGTTTGCTGTGGATTGAGTTCAAAATGAATTACTCCTTTGATGTCCCACCAAATTCAAAGCATCACTTTTTGCAGATGGAGTCGAGGTTTCGGGGTCGGAAGTGGTTTTTGTCTTGGACTGAGCCTTTGATTTTAGCATTTAATATTCGCACAGAAAATCCATTTTTCATAACTGGTGACAATTTTGTCCAAAAATGGTTCATGAGCATTGCGTGCCAGAAGAGACGAAGCAAATGTTCACATGTTGGAAACGATGATCATCGGAGAGTTTGTGAGACACCTAAACACCTTCTTTATGGAGTTTCCCATATTCCTTAGATGTTTATGTATTGTTTCATGAGAGATATGCTATTTAAGGGCCATTTCACAAGTGTGTTGCCTTGGGTTAGACTCAACAAGCGTCTTCAGAGCATCAATATCAATTCCAAAATGTAGGCCCCTGCCATTACAGTTTTTAAGGCTAAAGTCACCTGAAAGAAATTTGCTGAACCATCGTTGACACTTACGAATGTTCAAAACATTTCCATAAACTTCTTTGATATTCTTTTTGGCTGCAGAGGCATTGTTTCCCTTCTTGTATTCAAACAGCATTACACGCTGAATGTGTGTCTCATTGTGTGCCATCACTATAAGGGATTAGAGTATACTAAACTTTACACATTATATAGGCTACACTAACGTGACGTTTAGGTGGTTCATCTAACTATCATATGTGATGTAAATTTTTTTTTGGGGGGGGGGGTAACGAAAGTGTTCCAAAACGCAACAACCTAATAGACAGGTTAAATAATGAGGCTGGAGACACCCAGTTTTTGTTTTGCATTAACTTACAATAACAATCAAATGCAGCAAACTAACTTACATTTACTGAAATTGGTTTAATTTACATATAACTCTGCTATTTCTTAAATGGGAATTTTTTCACAGTAAATTACTTATGACTTGGATAACACATTATGAAAGTATTCATATTTATCATCAAAATGAAACATAAGATGACATTTTTAATTACCAAGAGAGTTGAAAGATTGTGTCATTCCATACATACTACCAGTCACGAATGTTTCTCTCATTGTTGTTCACAGAAGTACCAAATGACTGTTATTAATGATTAATAAATATATTTTAAAAATTCCTCAATCATCACTTCTCTATAGTAAAATTATAATTCAATTACAAATTTCTATTATAACTATTAGCAATTCCCCAGTTCTATTTGCCAAGATATAGAACTTTTCGTAAATTTTAATGAACTCTACCTTCCCCCCCTGTATATTGGTCAACTTTTACATGATTTACATATTTATTCAAATGGCAAACTGTTAATATTAGTTCTGTGTATTAATAGGTAGAAGCCTAATTCAATGTGAAATCAAATATTATAGCTGCAACTCTTTAATAACTTAGAAAATTAATGTGTCTTTATTCAAGTATATTCAGGTAAAATTCTAAAATTTGCATTTAGCTGTTTGATGTAAAAAGCAATATATCCAGCTATGGATAACACTAAATTCAGTCTCAGAACCGTGTTTAGGGCTAGTGCAGGTTTCTTTGCTTCTGTATATGGTATGTACACTAGTAAGTCAATTCCTTTCTCACAATGTCTGGCATATTGGACATATTTAACTTAATTACTCCAGTATTCTGACACAACAGATTTAAAAGCTACAATGTTAGATCAGATTTTCAGAAGCAAACAACTAATTTCTGTACAATTAAATAAATTTAGTTTTTTTACATCTTTGTCCTTCATTTCAAAGTTGTTGTTTCTCATTACTACCCCCAGAGTATTGACATCGCTTGAACTTGAATATAGGTCTAAGCAAAGCTAGTACTTAGTAAGAATTTTCACTACCCTTGTTTCGAGCAGATTCTGCTCTTGTATGAGTTTGGTCATGTTTTGCAAGTTGCTGTTAAAATCCAGAGTCTAAATAACGTTCGTCAGTAGGGATACAGTAACTACATCTGACTGATAGCTATTGAACTAGAATTCTTCTTTCAGAGATTATAACATGCATGACTAATCACACCAGTAAATACCCAATAGAATAGTTGTGACAGAGTTATGTATCCATTTGAATTTCATTTTTAAATAAAAAGTTTAACACCATAAACATTAAGAATATTGAATAGCCTCAACATATCACACGTACTTGGTCTAATGGGTAATAATCTTGCAAGTTTTGAGTTCACATTATAAATATATTAAGACTAAATCACAATAAAAGAACTGTTAATACCTGATATGATAGGACTTGTCTTCGTGACTCCATGGTACGATGAAGGTAATTAACCCTTGGCCTGTATAACAAAGAAATTACCATGAAGTAACCAAGATGTATTCAATAATATACCTAATCTGTACCTTTTTCCAAGCATGTAGCTTTAAAGAGCAAATACTTTCAGGTAAACATACAAGTTTAGACACTTCTTGCAACAGAAGAAAACACTAGAAATATATTTATTCTTAATGTTTAGTTTAATTACTTCAGTATTCAGACATAAAAGACCTAAAAGCTACTGTTAGATCAGATTTTCAGATGCAAAAAAAATTTATTTTCTGTACAATTGAATTAATTTAGTATTTTATATCTTCATTCTTAATTTCAAAGTTGTTGTTTCACATTAGAGTATTTTTGTTTTTGTGAGACTTAATTTATGAGCTGGCCACTAACCACTTCTTCATCAACAACGTTTTCACAATCAAAGTGATTAACTATTACACAACTTATCAAATACAGAAATTATATTTCCCTAAAAGTGTGCATTATATCCTTTTGATACAAGTTATTATACATATGTATGTAAATATTAGTGCAATGGCATGCCACAACAGACGTGTGAGAAGTGACACCACAGGTGACATTGTACATCTTTCACTTATGGTTAAGAAAAATTTCTCAGAGATACAATATCCAAGACAATGAATTGTAAATAATGTAAAGCTAAAGGATTTATGCTTTGAGGAAGGAAACCATCAGTACTCTACACAACATAAAAAAATAAAATAATGACAACAACAATCATTTAAACATAAAAAGTCCATCAGGTTTTCCCAGTGCCAAAAGTTTTGGCTAATTAATGTTGTCATGATATACAAGACTGATTTATTCAGATATTATTGATTAATTTAGTTTTGCTAGTGAATGTTTTATTATTGTTTAGTTTTTGTTATAATAAGAGTTAAAAGCAGATGTTTGAGGAACTTTTGTTAATAACTCATTGATGTTGAGAATATCAAACATCACGTGCAATATATTGGCATCAAGAATATAGAAGGGGGACATATGATTAGGTAATAAAGACATAAATAGCATGAGACGAGCAGGAAGCAGCAGACAGACAGAAGCAGACAGATAATAGCAAAAGAGAATAAAATTGGTGTGAAGTTACCTACTGTAGAAGTGATAGGCCTAACGATTGACATAAGCCTAACATTTAATATGTTATAGTGAAATTAACAGTTGAAAAGAAGAAAAAATAATTATATTCCGTCAAAGCATGGTTCTAAAGTAATTGAATCAGCCTGAGTACACTTTGACAAAAGAAACAGAGGATCTTCAGAAGAAAGAAAAAACGATTACGTTAACTTGCATCACTATTGTAAGTGAATCACACAGAATAATAGTGCAACAGTAATAGAGAAGATAGTTCGGCTTGTCAACTGAAATTCTAAAGTAATTGAATCAGCCTGAGTACACTTTGACAAAAGAAACAGAGGATCTTCAGAAGAAAGAAAAAACGATTACGTTAACTTGCATCACTATTGTAAGTGAATCACACAGAATAATAGTGCAACAGTAATAGAGAAGATAGTTCGGCTTGTCAACTGAAATTCTAAAGTAATTGAATAGGCCTAAGTGGACTTTTGACGAGAAGGAGAGAACTACATATATATTGTTTATGATATGCCTATAATATCTATAGTGTTAAAGAATTTGTTGTACATATGTTTAACTTGTTCCAATTATATATATATTATTTTGAAAACAAGTGAAGTGCGTAATG